TCAATGCTTGGATGGTGGTTTGATCTATGAGGTCTTTCTGCGCCGTAGCCCAGAGAAGATTTGTGGCACCATCAAGAACAAGTAAGATGATATACTTGTTCTTGTGAAGTTCAACCTCACAATGATCAGCAAAAACAACATCACCAAAACATGAAGCTCTAATACCGGAGACTCTGGCTCGTGGCGGAGGTGCCACTGAAGTGTTACAAACACGGCAGTTCCTGACAACTGATTCATACTTCTCTAAAACAGAGTCAGGAAGCTTCAACATAGAAACACGTCTACGAAACTGAGTAGGACTCATATGGTAGTGCTTCACATGAAGCTTATAAAGCTCTACCTTGTCCTCCAGTCTCTGTAACATCTTCCTATATGCCGGTGTCATTGCAACAACTTCACTACCAGGTAATGGGATTGAAATCCGCCTAGGCTCAAGAGCGCCATCACCTGGTTCAAGTGGTTCATGTTTATCACTTGATGGTCCTTTTGATGCTTTAGGAATTTCTACAAGTTCACCTTCTGGCCTCTCAGGTGGTTCTGAGGGAGCATACTCCTCAAGATCATCACCCTTTAAATCATTCTGAGGCTCAGATGGTTTCGACTTGTGTCCCTTCCAAAATGGATCAAAACCCTTGGAAGTATACCGAAACTTTGGCGGCACGGGCTTTTCCGCGGCGCTTGATGGTGCACCTTCCTTCTCTGACGAGAAGCCTGGTTCCCTGTCCTTTGCAATGGGAACCTTCTCTGAGGAGGAGCGCACCACTGCATCGGGATCACCAATGCCACGGTGCTCAATGCCAGCCTTCCTGATCTTTAGATCTGGAATTTTGGCATCTGGTTTGAACTTAAAAATTGTTCTACCACGCCATTCATAGCCAATTTGTAGGTCCTTCCATTTTGCCTTGCGCCAATCATCTAGCTTCTTGATTTCTTCTCCTCCTTTCTTCTTCTTGATGATTGTCAGTCGCAAGTCTTCCAGTAAGTCAGTGTCTACAGGACAGGACTTAGTTGCTGGAAAAAGAATCTTTCTATAATCCTTGTGGTGACGTATCAGTTCTCTCTTGTGAACATCTACTTCCCAGTAGTCAACCACAGGATATGCATGCTCAGCTACATCTTCATCACTATTGTGATCAACAGAAATATGACCATATTCATAGTGAGTGAAGTGAGAGTAAAAACTCTTCTCGCGCCGAGTCTGCAAATTCACGTCAGACAGATACCATGCAATATCTTGGAAGTCCAAGACAAGATGAGTACTGGCTGCAACCTTCAACTCCAAATATTTGATACCAAGAGGCACCGATGTCAGATAAGCATGTTGAGGTGTCAGCCTGAGTTCAAAGCCTAAGTTCCTCATCTGTGGCAAGCTCATAAGCAAAGGGACTTCTCCTTCTTCCACTATGTCGAACTCTGTATGGTGGATCGTCCATGCACGATCATACATGTAAATCACCAGTTTCTGAGAGCAAGTAGCCTTCTGGGAATTGGCAAAGTAAAACTTGCTCTTGGTAGCCTCAAAAGAGTACCATAATCCACAATCTGGGTGATTGTCGACATAGTTGCAAAAATGGTCGACTGCTCGCCTTGATCCCATAGCTCTAGTGCATCCAATGTCCAGGATTGCAATAGTCGGCGGGAAGCGATTCTCAGTCAAAAATGAAATGGCCTGCATCTCCTTCACTTCTTCCTCAGCGCTCATAAGCGCAAAACCATCAGGAGCCTTTGTGAGCATCTCCTTTGACAAAGAGTACCTCACAGGGGCACTCATGCCATTGAAGATCGTCTCACCATTGTTGACCGCGCAGTCAGCTTCATCTTGACATGAGGTCATCATGCCTGACAGCAAGTTCACCTCACTGTCATGGACTTCAGCTGCTGCTGTCACACAATGTGCAAAGAAACCTTGTTGACCTCCTGATGCTTGTGAAGATCTTGAAGGTGCAGGCAAAGAACGTGGCTGTTGTTGATTTGCATAGTTTGCATCTTGTTTGCCATCTCCTTTATCTTTTCCTTTTCCTTTCTTGCCTTTTCTCTTGCCTTTTCCTTTTCCTTTGTGGGAAAACCATGCTTCTTCAAGCTGTTGCCAAAAGTCATTGGCATCATCATATTCTCCTTGAAGATAGTCATTCATATCTTCGGCAAGAATGGCATCATACGCTACTTGGTTTGACTCCCAAGTGTCCTCATAAGGATTCTCTTCATAATACTCATCTGGAAAAGTTGTCTGTTGCTCATCAGCAAAATGGCCTTTACCTCGTCTCTTTCCTTTTCCTTTTCCACGAGGTCTGAAGAATCTGCGGCCTGATCTTCCTTTACCTTTTCCTTTTCTTCTTCCTTTTCCTTTGCCTTTTCTGGCTCTTCTTCCTTGGAATCTCCTCTGGGACCAAGAGAAATTCTGTTCATCATATACCCAAAAGACATCGTCTAGGGCATCTAGGAATCCTTCTGTTCCATCTTCTTCATCTTCGGCCCAATAGCCAAATGTACCATCGAGTTCTCCTTCGTCTAGTACGAGAAATGATCTTCTACCTCCAGCACCTGTCGGCTGCATCAAAGGATTGTCTACTGAAGTTTTTGTTGTGCAGAACATCTCAATGAATACTGTCCTCAACTCTGTTGTGGTGTATTGCTGCAGGACCCTGCCACGATGAGTCATCAAAGAAGTCAAAGTGTTTCGCTGGTCCTGAGACAAATCTGCAAGTGACAGCATGAGTAAGGCAATCAGATTTTCTCCTAGAGGAAATTCGTTCTGATGAAAAGTCCTCATATTGCCATTGATGGTCTGCATGATTTCCTGAATCCTTTCTGCCGTTGGTGCTACTCCAGTCAACGCTGCATCTGCCTGCATCTGAGCTAGGACCTGTGGATGTGCTTGAGTGACTGGTTCTAACATGTCCATCCAACTGCTCATAAGCCTTTGGAGTAAAATCTGGAATCTTGTCATCCATTTCATCATGTCAGCTGATCCTCGATTGAAGCGCACGAATTGCATAAATCTATACAGGAATACATTGGTTGATCCTTTCACGAAATATGGTCGCAGTACTCGTTTGAAATATTCTACGCCGGCTCCTGGTGGATCATTTGCCTTCAATGCATCTCTGTCTAAAACACGCTTGTATACAGCTGCTTCTCCTTCTAATCTGTTTCTCAATGCTGGTCCTCTCTTCTCATCTTCCAGCTCGGTGATATCACACCAATCGTCTATGGCATCCTCATAGGAAAACCATGAAGTCTTTCCATCATAAGATGGGGGCACCTTTGTAGTGACCTGTGTTGTCATTGCTATTGCTGCTGGTTCTCTTCTCACATGCCTATTCACATAGGCTGCTGGCTCATAAGCCACATCCGCATCAGGCTCTTCCCAGTCGTCTATCCAATCCATGGCTGTTTGCCCACTAGCAAGTCTATGCCTAGGAAAGGAGCTCACCTGGGTCTTCCAGGATCACTGCTCCGCTACCACTGAAAGAGTGACTAGGGCGTACACGGTAGAGGTGCAGACCGCTAGTGTCTTTTATGCGCAGAGTCTTATCCTCTTGCTCTTTGAGTCTTGAAGCAGTCAAGTATGGACACACTATATCGGCTGTTGGAGTGGAACCCTGTACAGGTAGGCTCTACTTTTCAGAGGGGGGGGGGCTTGCGTGATATATCAAGCTTAAGGCACACAGTTCATCCCACTACCAATTGCTAAAGCAAAGACGAACTCAGCTAGCATGCTAGCTTTCGTGATTTTGCCAAACCACACATGTCCAAGACAGTAAATTCAAACACTTTGCTCTCAGGTAATGAAGATTCATCAACTGACGAGGCGCGGCCGAAATGTTATGTGATGCATCCACAAGAAAAAACGAGCAAATGATCATGCTTCCGACGAAGCTGACCATGCTTCCGACAAAGCTTGTCAATGAATCCTAAATACAAACACTAAATCAGTGGATGTTTTGCAAAAACGCATGCAAAATCCCATGAGTGTCATCTTGATTCTCCAATAATTACATGTGTTTCCGCTATCCGGGATCATCATCCAAAATTCAAGTGCATGATGTCTTTGACATCCTGGTTTTGAACGCACACCCCAAAATCCAAAACGCCTGCAGCTAGGACTTGAACCGTGGGGGGGGGGACGGGGGGGTGGTCCTTAGCGTGATATATCACGCTAGAGTGGGGGGGCCAGGCCCCCCCCCCTTAGTGTGATATATCAAGGTTTAAGGCACGCAGCTCATCCCCACTACCAATTGCTAAAGCAAAGAAGAACTCAGCTAGCATGCTAGCTTTCGTGACATTTGATCCATCCCTTCGATGGGCAGGCTGTCCCAAAGTTGTCAGCTAAGATTTGCTGTGACTACAATGTGCTTCGTCACCGTCAAAAGGCAATGAATGAGTTTGGTTGACAGAGGTTGACCTCTTTTGCCCAGACATGCCCAATTCTGACGGAACTAGCCCAATCTCTATATACTGTACAATTTTCAACCTTAGGGCTATTCGCCAACAACTGTCCATTCCAGGCCTTTCGATGAAAATATGAAGACCCTAGCCACTTGTAGGAGAGCTGCACCCAGCGATTCCACCACCCGGTCGATGCCCGTTGCTCTCGGAGATTCTCTTCCAGCTCAGGCGAACGCTGTATCGGACTCTTGTCGCTCGCGTCTGCCAGTGATCGAAGCAAGTTGGGAGCCCGTCTCCGCACCGCGGGGGCCAAGGTGCGTGTTAAGGCCAGCCGCATGGCAGCGATGACAAAATTGTGCAAAGCGCAAGCAAATCTAGTTTTGGTTTCTTAAGCACTGTTGATGTCATCCTAGGTCTTAAACTCAAATGTCCTTTGACTGTGGCCCCAGTCAGTTACGAATTTTGCGAACGTGCTGACGCGTGCGGCTGGTGCTGCAATTGAAACAACTCTCCAGTGTTCAACGAGGTCCTTAGATGGCTGAGGTGGTTCTCTTTTCATGTTATGTTGTTTTGGCAGGTGCACTCCACGAATCAATCAAGCAGTTGGCTGGCCTTGGCATCTGCTGCTGGGAATGCCTCCACTTCCTGGGCAATGTCCTCACATAGAAAATCACCCAATGGATTAACCCATCTTTGCCTTTGTGAATGTGATGTCCCCTTTGCTGTAAGATTGTGCCTGACGCACGACTGCCTTGCTGCATCTGGTGACCTGTGATGTTCCCTGATGCATTGGTGCAGCAAGTCAGCTATAGTGGCTTAAACAGCCCGAACCCTTCAACAAGCTTTCACTCAGTCTTGGGGCACACACCACACAGGCTAAGCCACAAACCGCCTCGGAACTGATTTCACTGATAGGCAAGGTTTCAGCTGAAATCTTTGTGACCTAGTCCTCCCAGAACTTGTCGTTGCTTGTTTAATAGCGATGGCCTCCAACCTACTAGCGATGGCCTCCAACTAAATGATCTCTCACATATGCCAAGGAGGAGAAAAGCGTCAATATGCAGATCTACACTCCCAGCCCTTTGGCCACTGGTCGCAGGGTCAAAAATCCAATAGACTCTCCTATTGAATGGGTGTATCTAAAACATCCAATGCAATTGAAGCTAGAGCGGGTTTGCCTTATACATACACAATATACTATATATAATGTATACAGTGTATTATATATGTATATATGTATGTGTGCGTGTGTGCGCGTAAACTGCAGTATGCCCCCTTGTAAAGATCTCCGCAAAGCACATCAACATGGCCCTTGCACGCATAGCCATTCCTGAAAAGCCGGTTCTCCTGCTCGTGCTCACGCCAGTCGGGCATTAACTGAGGACACTGCTACCTCACTCTCCTCTGAAACCCGCCCATCCTCCACCTGCACCACGCATGGCAAACATGGAGACAGTCTTAGTCTTTTCATCAAACGATCCTCGGTCCTACGGTGACGTGGGCTTCGTAAGCTCTTTGCTTTCTGGTGTCGGGTTGGTCACACCAAGAGAGTTGGCACATGTTATATAGATGTATTTGTCAATTGCTGTTAAAAATGAGTCCGTAGGTGCCATAGGTAGTAAAGTTGGGCACGCCCCGTTTGAGGAGCCAATCTGAGGTGGACCTCGCCCCAGGCCAGTGCCGCGGTCACGTAGGTTGGGGTCTCCTAGCGGCGCACCGGGGTCTGGCCCGAAGAACTTCCGAACGGGAGGGTGACTCTTTTGCAATTTTTCGAGACCGGGAGATCCAGATTTGTGGAGGTCATAAAGGTCTACTTGCCCCAGACCCTGATCCCAAGAAAACCGCGGTGGAATTCGGTGGATGCTCCGCACCTATCACTTTTGCACTACCGCTTGCACTAATCCGGTATCACTCTCACCGTTCTATCTCACCTACTTTGCTTTTGGTGGCCGGCCTGCTCAAGCAATGCACCCTTCCACCGGGCCTTTTTTTGATTCCTGATTCCTGAGGCAAACCAAATGCAAGCCCCTGCAGCAGGTCTCTGCCTTCACGTCTCCAAGTGAGAGTTTCAAGGCAGCATTATGGAATGTTTTCCAATACCAAAGACATGTTCCCCTTCAACAATCAAATGAGAACTACAGTGATGACGGTTGAAGGCTACCCTTAAGAAGGCATAGAGAGAGGTCTCCATGTTATTGCTGAAGGGAAGGTAGCACGTGTCGGACTCTGGCCCAAGGCTTTCCCACGGCAAGGCCCTGGTGTCCCACAACGGCTCGCAGAGGGCACTGCTGTACTGGTCAAGAACTTCCTTGTGGAGTTGCTCTCAGAGCTGCGACTATACCAGGTCCAAAGCAACATCAGCCATGTCGTAGGATGCCTTGTGCTTATCAAAGAGTTCCTCAACAAAACTCAGATGAAAACAAATTGCACAAGCAAATCATTGAGTGTGCTCGCACAACGCCAACAACCAACAAATGCCACCTTTGGCGGGAAAAGGTTGCGCAAGTTCTTACTACTCCCCTGGCAAATGCCCACACGAGCTTGGCATCCCAAGCCGAGGATCTCGAAGAGCTTGGCAATATTGCCCATGGAACGTATCCACTTGCCTCAAATCACACGACCATTAGTCATGGCCCCACCCTAAGCATGGCCCCGCGGCCAGGCCATGTTATCAGGCGTCTGAATTTGACAAACATAAACAAACATCCTGGTCCTCCACGCAGGACTCCTTTTGCAAGCAAGCGCAATCACACATTCGACCAGGTTAACGTCTGGCCCCCAATGTAAAGAAAAGTAAGCGAACCTGTTCATCTTGTTTGGAAGTTGTTCATCTAATTTCGAAGTTCCTGTCATTGGCTATTGCTTGGAGGACGGTATAATCTTTCAAGCAAAGATTCTCTGCTGTTGGATCTGCCACCACTTCTGGAGGCCACAGGGGTGGCCCCACCAGTGTGGTGACTGGGCGCCTGCGAGGCACCAAGGGGAGCCATGAAAGGCCATAGAACAGCGGCATGGCAAAGCCCAGGCCTTGAAGTGATGAATTGGAGAAAAGACAAGAGAGAATGGTCCCAAGTCAATCTGGTTGGCCTGCATTCACATAGGCGTCCATTTAGTTGTGATGGATTGATGACAGGATCTACATACATAATATCCGACGTCACCCTTTGTTGCACTCCAGTTCTCAAGGTTTGGAAAGCAAATCCGAGTCAGTGCCGGCATGAATGTGCTCTCTCTCTCTCTCTGTCTGCCTGCCTGCCTGCCTGCCTGTTTGTCTGTCTCTGTCTGTCTGTCTGTGATTCCAACGTTGTGCCGGCCACCACGTGACCCCGCCAAGGCACGCTGTTGCAGTCTCTCTTGGATCCTCCGCCGCCAGGTGTGTTTTTTCGAACTGCACCGTAGAGTACAACTCATTCCTTAGGCTCCAAGACATCTCCACTTACTTACTTGCTTGAGGGTGCTTTAACACAGTTCACTATACTCACACACTCACTCAGCTAGGTGACATGCCAACAAACATCTACATGCGCATTCTCACCGGAACATGTGGCGACTTCATGCATTAGCTTGTGGGCACCTACTCCTTAGGCCATCGACGCCTTTGGGATTCTCGTCAAATGATTGCATGCTATTCCAGTTTCTTGTGCTTTGTAGTCTACTTGTGTCCAACGGAGGCTGTGGTCCTCGAAAGCACTACGAAGAAAGCTTGCATGCGCTTCAAACTTGGCAAATCCTGCCAATAACCTAGCCTGCATTCCGACACCCAATACAGACAGTATTGCATCTGCCTTCCCCCATCATAGGCCAAGACTCTCGCCAAAGCCGAGCACAGGAACTAGAGCAGCACCAGTTCCTCATCACCCATGACACACTTGCTCTCTGACACCTGTTCGACCATTGGGAACTGGACTGGTGGAAGATTGAATGCAATGGTAGAATGACCTCTTCGGACAGTCTCTTCTTCACCAGTGGAACATCTCATTTTAAAAAACCCTCAATGCTGCTAGGCTCGAAGACCCAAGCGAGCAAAGCCTTTCCGATTTCGCAGCACCAGCCGCATTGTACCCGGCACACTCTCCAAGCTTTCCTTCGCACCTGCGCAATTTGCCCAAACCAAGCCAGGGTGATCAACCGAAGCTAGGAGCAAAGACGCTACTAGGCTCCTGGTCGTACTACTAGGAGCATGAAGCTACTGGGAACAAAGGGCATCGCTACTAGGAGCAAGCCTTATTCGACTTTACCGTCAGGATGTTTGGCTCGTCATGGTGGCCTCCGGGCGCCAAAGCAATGGAATGCCCACGGCGCAGCAGGTAGAGGCAAGTGTCGCGGCCTGCGACGCCATGCCCATGCATCAAGCACCACTCCTGGGCGAGAAATGTCATGATATGGCAGTGTCTACCCAATCTGATGATACATTTAGGTGACTTGAGGGTTCCTGTTTGTCGGAAGAAGACAACGTTTAAAATCTTCAATCCAACCGCAGCCTTGCTGCTGCGAACCTTCCTGTCTATAGTCTATCGCTTGTGCTGAGGAGCTCTGAAGAAGGGAATTCGGAAAATTGCATTGTGGCCCAGCAGGTGGACCTTGAGTCCAGGGAAGGTCGTGTTGAATCCTCAGCTGGAGTGCACCATGCAGCACCACAGCTCAAAAGGCTTCGAACAGTTGGGGGATGTGCTCCTACGCTTCAATCAAAACCAAAACATGCACGGAGTTACGGTGCAAAATCAGGCCTGGCATCCACTTGCATCTGTGCCAAAAGACGTCATAGGAGACACTCCAATGATACCTTAGAAGCAAGTGTTGTGAGGGCTGCGACCTTCTCTCGGCAGCAGTTGCGGGCTGCCAGGCTTGTGGGCCCTCAACCCGAAGCCAAGACGCCATGTGGCCGAACCCACTGCTACTAGTAGCGTCCTTGCCAGTAGTAGCGATGCCCTTTGTTCCTAACCCGAAGCCAAGACGCCATGTGGGTGGCACACAAAGATGTATGGACCTTTCTCCGCAGGCAACTGCGAAGTAGCTTTTAGGGTCACCTCAGCATTGCCAACAGTGTGGCTGTGTAGGAAGGCACAGTGACCCCTAATAATTGGGGACGCATGTGTTACAGCAGGGGTGTATACTGTATAAATATATATGCAGTACCACTGGACTGAAAACAACGATATTGATTTCACCAAGCGTACTGGGAAATACCTGCAAGCCCATCGCCACATCCACGATCTCCTCAGCATTCCGGTGACACCCAGATTCCAAAGAGACCTGAGCAAAGTCACTGTGTGGGTGGTTCAAGTGGCAAAAATGTCGAGGTCCTGAAGGACACCGTAAGGACACCCCATCTCACCAATCTTTCCGAAGCTATGCCAGAGAACAACCTACAACTGAGCCAGCGGCTCATAGCCTCCCCTTGCCGGCGATGGGTCAACAAGTATCCAGCAGATATACGCGGCAATTGCAGTGCGAAGGTAAACACCACCACGCGCCAGGGCCACGGCGGTGAACACCAAGCTTGCAGCAATGGAGTTAAGAGGGTAGGTGCAAATCATGGCTGCACAGTGAAGAGTATCCATGGCGATCCAGGTCTTCACAAAATCTCCCTACTCCACGGTCTACTAGAAGTCACAAGTGGGTGACCAGCCATCGCCTCTGTGCATGCTCATTATCAAATCTCCCCTCATACTAGTTGCATAGGAGGAGATGTATTATATGTACATGCATATATAGAGTAATCGTGTCAAACCTCAACAGCTTAACGCTTTTTTGTATGGTCTGTCACTCTTTCTGCACCTGGTGCTGCATTGTTGTCAAGTGGTGTAGCGGTATGGTGCATTTTTGGGAACAACTTTTGAGCAGCTCATCATGCGATCACCGTGACTGTACACCATCGTACAATATACATCAAACGTCTCGTGCAAGTTCTCTCATAGGTGTGCGTCCTCCGGGGGCAAAGCACCCAAGAACCCCCGCAAACCTCAGCGGTCAAACATTCACTCGTATCGTGTCCATTTTACTGGGAACATTAGTTTTGTGGGAGTTTGTTTGTGGGTTAGAGTCGGTTAGAGCTTCCCAACCTCATAGATGTGAGATCGTGATATGTTTCACTCTGGTGGTTAGGACGTCCTAGGCCGCTGCTCTCTTCTGATGGCCGACCTCAGGTCTTCTTGTTGGCCAGGAGAGGTTCAGTTGACCAACCAAGGCTGCCACGTGGCGGAGCTGGGGCTTGCTCGAGACCAAGTGCCTGGACCACAAGGATCGGCCAACGACTAGCATGACTCATGACGACAATCGACCCGGTGAATCAACCCAGTGACACTGACGATGATTCATACAAGAACGTACAAGAAGGCAGCTTGGGAAAAAACAAAAACAAAATAAACGGCCCTCTCAGAACGGTGACTGAAACATCTTCTAACAGGCCGGACAGTCTTCACTGTGCACACCACTGCACAGGAGCACAACCTCAGAAGTAAAGGTTGGGTTTCGGTTTCGCCGAGGTTTGCCCACAACCTCGATGACCATACTCAATACTGTCCCTGGCTCTGTGATCCTCGGCCCACGACATCAAGGCCAGCAGCACAAGCACCGCGCACGTCATGACGAACCTTGCCAGGCTGACACGTCCTCTACTTGTGCCCCAAGCTGCAAGGGTGTAAGTCAAACGTGGTCAAACCACCTGTGAGGCTCGAGCGCTATCCCCCACCATACAAACTCGAGCTGTGGCAGGCACGCCGGCCTCCAAGAAAACGAAAGCTGTTGCATGGTCATGATTGCGTGTCATTTGTTATGTGCAATGCCGCATGCAACACTGCGGCCTCCTGCAACCGTTCAAGTGCTAATTGGAAGACCTCTGCGTATGGCCTTGGAAAGCTCTTACTTGTCGGCACAGCTCGAAATAGTCTACCAGACTCTACCAGAATGGGATTTGGCATTTGGCCGATGTTGCACAGTTCTTTGGCGAGAGGCTTTCCCACGAAGGTTGGATCAGGCCTGCCAGCACCGGGCTCTCAAAAGTGGACCGAGTGGCTGCTTGTCAAGGCACAGACCCACCCAATTCTCGGTAGCGCTGCGCCAGCCTAACGGCACGGGGCAAGTGCATGTGGGGACACCAAAGCAAAAAGCATTTACATAGAAAAATCATAGAGGAAAACAACAAAACAAGGAGCTTAGAGGCTTAGAGCAACTAATTATATAACGAACTGTGTCCGAAGTCTTCAGACAATGTTCTATATATACCTATGCCGACCTTCGTCATAGATCTCCACATTACTCGGAGTGGTCTATGGTTCTGAGTGCTGTTGCGATCCCCACCAGCTGCATTCACAGAACTAAAACACTGCCAACCATACGGAATAACCATGTTCTCCTTCCAACGCCCTGCCCTGCATTCTTCTCATGCATTTTCTCTTTGAGGCGATTCATCTCTGCCTTCCAGGCATGGGGCTGTCGTTTCCATCAGGCCGTACCACATCGGGGTTCGCAACCAGCATCGGCACCTCACCCCGCCGTTCAAAGTCCCGGCAATGAATAGCCGATGCATACGTGCGTTCCAAACTAAATCGGGAATGTTGGATCTAGCTTGCATCATGAAACATACCAATAGCACTTTCAGATTGATTCTGTCTCTTCAACTTGCAGAAGGCATAGCTGCATAGCTTGCAACAAAAAATCCGGGAAACAAATGGCAACCACATTCAGTTTCTCACACGTCCAGCTGCGGCCAGGCGAAGTTGAGCGTCAAAATCCTTTACAGTAGGGCATCCACAACGGCAAGTTGTGGGCATGTCGCTCTGTCTCGCTCAAAACCTCAACATGATCGATATACACGGGCACCACCTGGATCACCTAGGTGCACCCAGCTCGCATAGATTCCAGTCAGCCTATTGATCTTACTCAAAGCTAACTCGATCTAGCTTGCATGATCTGTGGTAGGTCTGGATGATCGCAGTGGCACAGGCAAGTCCTCCCAACTTGCCTGCTTAACCTTGCCGGCATCGGTCAAGTCATGTTTCACACCCGTTCCAATCAAATAAATCCACAGTAAATTGCCAAGATTGGCATAAAATCCAACATCTGCCTCTACGGAAATCAAATAATAGCGAAGCAAGCGGATTCGACTTTCTTTGATGTAGTTTCTGCACCCATGACCACCCGAACTCATGCGCAGCCAAGCAGAGCCCGTTATTTGCAACGACTAGACCCGTACCTCTGGACCATAAAGACTGAAGCAGCCTCGCGCCAGCAGTAAGTCCGCCTGATGAGTGGCTTGAGTGGCTTGGACACCATGTCTCTGTCTTTGACTCTGGGCAAGGGGCCCAGCCCAGTCTTGAAACTCACCGTGGTGGCTCCCCTATATCCATGAGAATTGGCCAATGCACTCTGGGTGGATTGCGTGGTCAAGCTCCCAAGTGTATGGTCGGGGTATGCCACCTCCCCATCTCATGGGTTATGAGTGCAGCGCCTCCGCCGCATCAGCCTAGGAGAGCCAACTCTGACGATTTGCGCAGGCAGCTTCTCAATACCAAATAGGGAATCTATGGAACAGATTTTGCCATCAGGCTCCATGCTGCAACGTTCTTCTCCTTCAGCGCTCGCATGTACCTGTGAACACATCCGTGAAAGTTCTTGAGACTGTTGAAGCATCAAACACCGGCAGTTGTTCTGCTACTCTACCATCTTCAAATGCCTCAGGCTGCCACTCAACATCATCACTGCCATTTCCAAAGGTAAGGATGTTCTGCAAGGCCAAGGGTCTACCAACTCTCTGCCACCGCTCATGCCAAAACTTCAGTAAGAATCGCAGTCTACCAAGCAATCCGCCTTTGCCTCCTTGATCGTGGTGATGTGGTCCATGACCTTAACATGACCGATGTTAAGTAGCCTCGGGAACGCTTCCTGATTGAGGCACCTGCGTCGCATGCACCTGCCATGTCACACCCAAAGCCAACCGCGACATGGTCGAAAACAATCTAGACTTAGACACACTTATCTAAAAGTGTGGATTGGAAATTGGAAACCAACAAACCTACGGTACATATGTATGGGACTTTCAATCTGGGGGGTTTGCACGCTCCGAGTTCTTCAATCGAATCAAGGTCTTGCATTCCATCTACACTGCAACTTGTCGTGCACACCTTGCTGTGGGACCGGGACAACAGATTGTGCTGGCGTTGGCCACACTAACTCCGACATGACGTGGTTGCAAGGTGAACGCTGGACGCAACCGAAAAGAACAATGGTGGTAGGGAGAGGGTCGTGCACAGATTCAAAAACAAACAAACAACAAAAACAAAACAAATTCATATAATATATATATATTATATATATATATATACCGTATATGTATCTGTGTGCGTGTGTTGGTTTCAATCCTGGAGCTTTGACGCGCTAATATTGGGTTTCTGTGGTTGTTTGTTTCCTCACCTTTTTGTAACTTCTTGGGTTGCTGCGCTACTACTCTAGAGTGAAGAGTGCTCGCAGCAGGAGGGATGCAACTGCTGAAAGTCCATACGTCTGCTGGTAATCTCAAAAAAGAACTCTGCAGGATACTGCAGACTATCACAGCAACTGGCTGAGGTCCCAACCTGCCAAAATCCTCCAGCTGACCTCTCCACTGGTGATGAGGTCAACGTAAAGGTCGGGGCCTTGAAATGTCTAAAAACATCTTGTATCTTGATCGCTGGCCGACACAGCTTCAAACAGCCAAACAGGCACAATAAACTGTCGATTTCAGCAGAGAGAACTGAGATTTGCTTGAGCGTGCAAGGCTGAAGTAGTATCGACAAAAAAATGCCAGATGACATGCGAGTGCTCTTGATTGGTTTCTAATCTTTTCTACTCCTCTGCACACATACACGTTGGATTCCCTCTCATTTGAGCAAGGCCCATCTGGAGCATGATTATGAAGCTTGGATCACTTTTTGGAACAACAAGGTAGGCTTGATAGCAGGTCAAGCCAACGGATTTCGCGAGCCACTGGGATTGCAACTGGCACAGGGTTTGGCAGATCAGTTTGCATTTTTCCGTGACAAGCTCAAGCAGCTGCGTGACTTTTATCTTGCTATCGCAGATGTGCAAGGTCCAGCTGCTGCTAAGAAGGACGAGACTGAACTCAGTGGTGCCGTTAGGTGGTGTGACGAAAACACTTTTTTCAGATCTTTTGCCCGTCGGCTGGTCGTCCACTCTTGATGGAATGCACTTGGCATACCCCGTAGCTTTCGCCCGCAGTCTAGTCGAACAGTTTCTTGACTGGGAAGTGCAGGAATCTCAACCATACTGGATCTCGGATGTTGAGTTGGTGTTTGTTCTTGCGGGTGTTGGTTTTGCTCTTCCCATTGATACTTCTGCTGGACGGAGGCTCACACCCCTTTTTTTGACCTTTTTGCCAAGCCTCCCCTCACTCAGGTTCTGAAACCTCTTGTTTCTACCTTGGATCGGTTGTTTGGGGGTCTTGGCTTGGTTGAAATGCGGAGGACTGACTTTTCTTGTTTCGACATTGGTTTTGAAAAGGGAAACCATGCTGATTGGGGTCCCCGATGGACTGGCTACCAAAGCCAGGTCTGACGTGGTGAAATTCACCTAAAGGCGGTTGGATCGCGTCCACTTCCCGCTGTTTAAGTCGCGAGAGGCAAAAGATGTGATCGCTCCGAACTGCTCTGCTGTGTGAGGATCACAGGGCGCACTGTCCGACTCGTCTGCGATAATCTTTTCTACTGTGTATGTGTCTATCCCAATGGTTGATTTTTTGTTACAATGCGTGTTTCTATCTGGAGAAATTTGGCACCTCTTAGGTGCGGCTCCAAGTACTCTGAGGCTGCTGCCAACACCCAGCTTCTCCAAGGCGGCGCTGTTGGTTTCGCGGCGACGGGAGGAGTTGGAGAGAAAGAGGACCGGCTTCCTGCAAGGTCCAAAGCCGTACTCCGCTCAACAAAGCCAGCGGATGGTTTGAATACAAAATCCATCACAATCCGTGGTTGAGGATCACTCCTCAGCCGTTTGAGCTCCATCAGGGTCTCTTTTGCCCAAGGAAATGCCACTGCCCCATTGTGAACCACGCCCCACCTTCACTGCCAACAACAGGCTTGGATGTCCAAACAAACTAACAGCGAACCAGTTCAGACCATCAAGTCAAGTTTTGCAATGTTCACAATGCGAGCAGGAGGAAGCAAGTTGTACAAACGATCAGCTGTGATCAAGCTGAACACATGAAAACGTATCATGCTAGTAGTGTTGAGACATGATTAAGATACCCCCTGTATTATATATATATATGTGTGTGTGTGTGAGCTTTTTAGTTCGTTAGGTAAATAGTTCTATAGCTAGGTTTGTCCGCCTTGTTCCTCCAGTACAAACCGCCTGTCCAGCCCATGTTTGCTAAAATCATTCCATCTCATACTAGCTAGGCCCCTAGGCATGGCAAGGAGCAACTTTTTTGGTGCACTCTCCCGATTACATGGCAGTCTATGACGATCTGTACTGGCGATATTTTTCTTGGTGACAAAAGTAGCGAGAAAAGGGAGGACCGCGGCAACATGGGGAAATAGCATCACCAAAAAGCCACCAGAAAGCAAATAGCTCTGCATTCTATTGAAGTAAACATATACCCCCTTGAGGCAACCACAAATCCAAAATGAAGGCCTGAGCTACACGTCTAGTGGCACGATCTGCAACCAGAAACGATGTATCACCACGCGGCACTATACACTCAGCATAGCACGTCATATTGATCTGCCTCAGTGTGGCTCCAGGATCGGCAACTGCGTATTGGCCACTTGCTTGCTGAGTGCAGCTGAAGCGCAATATCTCGGATACCGCTGACCCATGTGGTTGAAAGGCCACCTCTGCTGGATCTGAGAACGCTCACCCCGAAGCTCCTTCCACGGTCCAGGCCTCCGGAACATCTTCCCAGTTTCCTTCGCCCTCGCTCTCGCTTCTTGCTCAGGCTGGGCAGCACCTTAACACAGCACTCGTGGCGCTGGCGTTCACATCATCAATCCACGATGAAAGAAGGGAGAGCCAAAAGACTGCAATGTTGCTTTGGGCTTTGTGACCCAGGTTGCTCCACTACAGGTGTCTGACACATCCCCATCCAAGGCAGGTGACCCCAACAAAGGCCAAGATTGACAGTCCTCCTAGCAACGAGCCAATTTGCCACTGTGTGTCTCATGTGCCTCATATGCACGAACGCGATCCAAAATTCGGACATCTGCACCGGCTAAGTGCTGCCCTTCAAAATTCCACAGGGTTGGTCTTGAGCATCACCAAAGGTGCCCTGTAAAGGCAACCTTTCATGTGCGTGGAAAGGTGGCAGTCCTGCAGAACTTTGTGCTGCACCACTTCTGGCCCCACCTGCACTTGTCGAACGTGAATCGGCATACCTGGATGCAAGCTCATGTTTCTGACCTGGGCCATACGAGAGAAAAAATGCGAAGGCTGGCCATAGGCCTGCCTCCAATGGAAAGCTTTCGATGAAGCAACTTTGAATGAGCCCGAGCAAAGCCCCAATGGCTCAGCCTCAGCTTGGCAAAACCAACTCAAGAGCTGGTCCACACATCTTGAGTGACAAGTTGGTGGTGTGAGACACCGAGTCCCGAGCACAGACCTCCCCGTGGAGGTGACCGATGAAAGTCTCTCCATCCAGATTTGTGGTCAAGCGCCAATTCACATCTCCGAGGGCGGCTCAAGAAGGTTCAAACGTGAAAACTTGATAGATCTGAGGGTGGTCATCAAACAAAAATGTCCAACCTCCTCTGACAACATGCCGATAGCATGCTGACAGCACGGTCACTATGTTCATGTGGCTGGTTGTTTCAATCTGTTCCAGTGATGTCACCGTGCTTTTTTGCATCTAAGCAGCTGACTGAAAGAAAATTGGCGACACGTGCGTCTGAGCCCCTTCATTGTTACATCCCAGCTCCCTTATCGGCACCACCGATCACCACTGCAGCAACTCTGGATTGATTTTTTCGTCTCCAGCCGCAAAAGCCCTTTTCTCATTCGCTTCCGCACCCACATGCATTGGCCACATTGTTCACAAGGACAGTTGGCAACCTCCACTTTGTCTAAGGACTCAGTACTTAACTGTTTCCTGATCCGGATTTCGTTGGCGAAGCCATCTGGTCAAGTGCTTGGCAGCTCTTCTGTGAGACAAAAACGGGTCGGGCAAATTCTCTGTACAAACGAGCATCTGTATGAACACCAAGGCTTCTTTCGGTCCCGGCCAGGCCGGCCAGTGCGCAAAGAACGCACCCTTCTGGGTCAAATGCCGGATCAAGGGATGCTTGGTCAAAGTCGATACGGCTGAGTGAATGCTGACCCCAACAACCTCAATGAACATCAAGACTAAAGTGAGGGACACTTTGAACTGAGCCTTGGGGTGTGGTCCAAAGGGGCACCATGAGAATCAATCTTCAACAGCTTCTTGGGATGGTCAAATTGTCATAAAACATGCGGAAACATTAGTTAGTTCTTCAAGTGATGTCTTCCGCTGGATGCACATTGCTTTATATTTTAGATAGGTAAAGGGAAAGGATAGCAAGGTTATGCAATGGTATGCACATGGACATGGGCTCTTCCAATCATCCAGCGCACGCGGTTCACACGGCCAATTTCTCTAACAGTTGCCTCACTTCAGCAACCCTTGCGACATCCTCCATGTGCTGCTGCTCGCGGCGCCTGCATCCAGCGCTAGCAGTGGGCGCTTTAGAATGCTTCATAGGTCTTTGGGCATGTTCGTGCCTGAGCTCCTCCCATTCTATGGCATCCTGCAGCTTTGGTCTTCTGATCAAAAATTGCAAGGTTTGCACTTGATGAGTCAGCCCAGCCCGCACTTGTTTACAGTCCTGGTCGTCGTCTGCAGTCTTACTTGGAGTTACCAAGACCTCCGCATTACAATTACTCAGAACATTACCTCATTGTTACATTCAGCATTCACATCTGCGTCCCCTAGCCGGGCCCCAAGAGTGAGTCTCCAGACAAGTCTTGCGCCAACAAAGAACTCGCGTTTCATGCTTTTGCAGCTACGATTCGAAGCTATAGTCCAAGCCTGCTTGGGTGGTACAAGCTTCGGCTTCGGAACGTTCTTCGCAAACTGCATGGCCTCAGAACAGCGTCCAGTGCCACCTTTTGGATTTTTGGCCTCCAGTGCACCGCTGCTCTGAACACATGGTGCAAAAAGTGTTGAACCTCTTGGCCCCGAAAACCTTGCACTATTGGGAGGCAAGGTGTGAGGGACTGGCAGGGACTGGGGTACGGGAGCCGAAGGTGGAAACCCACTGGCTGTGATGCAACTGGGCCTCGTGGACTGACAAATGCCCTGGCCTGGCACCATTTTGTCCAAAGTCTGGAGCAAGTCAAGAAGCTCTTCCGGCAAAGAAGAGTTCACTTGAAAGCTTTTGCCCTCCAAGTCCAAAAACGAAAGGGATCTACAATGCAAAAACAGCCTTTCTGTGGGAAGCAAACTTCCTCCAAGCCCAGGACCGTAGGTCAAATCCCCAACCAGTGGCCGGCTTAAGCTGCTGAAGTGGACGCGGATCTGATGTCGTCGCCCAGTTTTGGGGAAAACCTTGAGAAAAATCAGCTCTTTCAATTCTCCTTCAGAAGTCCCTTGGGCACTTTCTTCAGAGAAAGGCGGAAGATATCTCTCCATCACCTCGAAGTCCGTGACAGCTTCAGAACCATCGCCCAAATCACACGCTTCGCTCTGCCAGGTCTCGTCAATTTGCAAAGTCCGCAGGGGGACCGAGATCTGGCCCTGATACCCAACATCTCCGAGGGATGGGCCCTCACAAAGGCAAGCATACTCCTTCAGGGTGGCAGCTCCCGCTCTTTGGAGCACATGCAAACATGTGGCTACATCGCCGTCGCTAACATTCAGAAACGCACTGCGGGTGTCGGTGAGGGATTTCGGATGTTTAGCGCCGAACTCCGATCACATGGGGGGGTGCAATCATTTAAACAACGCACTAAGAAGGTATTGGCTTAGCGTCCTTGCTCCTAGTAGTAAGGCCAGGAGCCCCTCGTAGCTTCTTGTTACTAGTAGCGATGCCAGGAGCCCCTAGTAGCGTCCTAGTCCTAACTACATAGCAAATTTGGCCAACCATGCCAAATCATAAATTGCCAACCCGCATGTTCCTTGCAAACCATGCGCCCCGCAAACTGTGCTCTCACCCACCGATCACCTGGTGAGTCGTTCCCAACCACTAGCGGCAAAACTCCAGAGGTGGGGTGATCAAGGCGCGAAACGATGGAGAGCTCGAGCTTCAGCTCTTTGGCGAGTAGGTCTCGGAAATCTTCAGTACTCACACCAGGGGGCTTGGAGGCCACCACCAAACCTGGCAAGCTTGCGACCACCTCCTTCAATTCCCCAAGCTTCTTTGACGTCATCGCTGCTGCCTGGACTTGCCAAACCTCTCGTAGCCAATGCAAGAGCGGGTCGATCCGTGGCACCATCTCACTTTTGCTTTGAACTTTGAGAAGTGAATGGATGACCGATCCTGCGTGCATCGCTGAAGGTAATTCCTGCCTTGAGATCAGCAGAGTGAGGAAGGCCAAAGCAGTCTCCCACTGAGACTCTCTCTCACATGCACTGAGGACACCTTGATATGTCACACTGTTGGGCTTCAACCGGTTTTGCATCTTCGCAAAAAAAGTGCAGGGCCAAAGTCCACATCCCTCCTTTCTCGCACGCAGTTATCACAGAATTGTATGTGATGTCATCTGGAGATGGGAAGGGCACCTTGATCATACAATTCCCTTTATGGTATCTGTGGTCCGGATGCTCGGCCATCCTAGCGAAGAGTTCTACAGCATACTGCCACTGCTGACTGCACGCAGCAATCGCAGCATTGAGGCTGATAACATCCGGAAGCCCCGATGGCATTTGCCACAGAAGGCTCAATGCTGCCTGCCACTGGATCGCTTTGACACATGCAGTGATTGCACTATTGAAGGTTACAGCATTGACTCGAAGGGATTGACCAAGGATGCCCTCGAGCAAAGACAAAGCTAGTCTCCAAGTCCCAATACCTTCGCATGAGCTGATGGCGATGTTGAAACAAACAAGATCCGGTGTCAGTCGCAAAAGCGGCAGCCGCCCCAACAACTTCAACACCGCGTGCCACTGACTGGCTTCTTGACATACAGTCATTACAGAACCTGCCATGAGCGTTGTAGAAGAGATTTGCCAGTGGAACATCTCATCTAGGAATCCAATAGCCAGGCGCCAATTCCCAACGGTCTTGGCTACGCCGATCATTGCATTGTAAGAGATGGCATCAGGAGTGGCTTGTGTCGTAGGCATAGTTCGGAAGAGATGAATCGCTTGCATCCAAGCACTTCTCTTCTGGCAAGCCCGTAGAGCAGGCATGTAGCACATCACATCTGGCTGTTGCCGTGCGAGCATGATATCTGAGAGAATTTCTATGGCAAGCTCCCAGCTGCCACTTCTTTCACAAGCTCCAATCAAAGCACTGAAGTGAAACAAATTCATTTCTAATCTGGAGGCCCGTAACACGTCAAGCACTTTGACTGCAACATCTGCACGTGCAATGCCTTTGAACACCGATGTGATGCGTCGAGGGTCGCGCCTCAACCTTTGGACATATGGTTGGAGCACACGGTTGACATCAAAGTATGTGGCCTCATCCAGTGCTGAGAGCAAAGCAACTTCGGGATCCAAATGGCTTGATCTGGAGATCCGTGACATGCTGGGAGGTCCTCTTTAAAACTTGTGGGTCGCGTGTGGCCCTTCGGGCGTCGCTGGGTGCCATGATGGCGCATTGTCGTATTGTCTTTCGCGGGTTTGAGCCAAAGTCCTTGTCAAAGAAGATTTTTGTTTTCTTCCGCAGCATGTCCCAACATTCCATCGATTGGATCCTCCTTCTCTTTCGACGCGGGTTGTACAAAAAGCCGACACCCCTCCTGACCCCTCCCGAAACGACGCTTTCTTGATCCTGAACAATCCCGAACCTTGGCCCGAGCGGTGGATTTGGGCTCTGCTTTAGCCTCCGGCTTCGGCCTCAGAGGCCGAGACAAGCTGGAGGAAGAACAAACAGAAGTGAAGCTCAGCGCATGCCAATTCGATCTGGCACGTTTCAGGTACATGTTCATTCTGGGGTGTGGGTGCGTGTAGGTGTCTTGTATACATCCATCGGTCAAGCCACAGCTGCTTGCGCTTAAAAGATGCTGAGATACTGTAAGGACAAACTCCTAAACAAAAGGCGACTAGATGATCTGATGATAAGACTGCCCCAAGTTTTATGTGGCCAGTGGATGATTCTTATGAGCCATCAGGACTAGGGTCCAGCTGGTCCAGCCGGTCCAGCCAAACAAATCTCAGCCAAAGCCCTGGAAGCACCAAACTGCACAACTAGTCCACAATTGCAGAGTAACAAGTGCATCGCTACTAGTAACAAGTGCCTTACTACTAGTACCAAGAAGCTACTAGTAACAAGTGCATCCCAAGTCATCCAGTGACATCCCCAAGCTGGAGCTCCACTCTCAACATCCCTCAACCACGTTCAGGCGGCGCTGAAGAGCACCCTCTTTAGGCCCCAACTGCGCCTTGCCAGCCCGGTGCTTGTTCACACGGTGGAGCTCCCGGCTGAACTGCTTCACCTTTCGAGCTGCGCCCACTTTGGCAAATGCCGAAGGTGCTTTGGCTCAAATCGCGGCTTCTGTCCCTGCGACCGGACCT